AGTTGCTCTGCCCCAAGCTTCCAGGAATCAGCCGCTGATCAGTTTCAGCAGCAGCTGACTTGGGGACGCCTGGGTTTCTTAAGTTGAATCTGTATGTAAATCAGAACTGGCATCCAGATTCAGCCGCGGTTGAAACTGATTAGTTTCAGCAGCAGCTGACGCCAGTTCCGACTTACATACAGATTCAACTTAAGAACAAACCTACAGTCCCTATCTTGTACGTAACCCGGGGACTGCCTGTATCTTATTTTGAGTTTAGAGTGCAGTGTAGACATAGTCCTAGTGAGCTAAGACAGCTCAAACCACAGATGGCTCACTAGTAATTAAAAGGCATATTTAAAGGTATGCAAAAATCTCATTGGTGCGGGAGTTAATATTAAGTTCAGTATATCTTCAAGTGTCTCACAAGTTAACCCTATCCTATTGACTTTAGGTGTAGCTCTAACCTGAGAAGGGATAGTGCTAAAATGGCACACATCCAACATATCCTGTATGCCTTATTTATACCTGTTTTTAGTTTTTAACCATGCATTTTTACTTCTATTAGCATTGCAGATTCAACCCAGCTACATAAATTTGGATTTATATCCCATAATTATCTATTAAAATCCAATTACAGGATCAAATCCCGCCCTCACTGGAACAATAAGCTTCAGAGGGTAGCTGAGTTAAGTCAGTACAGGATACACTTAAAAACCAACAAATAGTCTGGTAGCACTTTAAAGACTAACAAAACATGGCGATGGTATCATGAGCTTTCGTGGGCACAGCCCACTTCTTTAAAGTCAATGGTGTAATAGAAGACAGGATTTGCCTGCAGAATATCCATTAATAGTGTGAACAGGAAACAATAGCTTTGAGACCTGAATTTCAGATTCAGGCTTGAATTTGAAATATTAGCTGTTACAAATAAAACACCTCAATACCAGCTACTGGAGATACACTTTCAACTCCTCAGAGTTAAATAGGATTTAAATAGGAAGTGAGTGGTCTATCTGAATTGAGAATGGCAAAACACCACTGTTATTTTCTAGAGTAAAAAGGTAACAAGCACAGCTTTTATCAAATCTGCATCCCTCTTGTGTGAACTACACCATAAATGGAGTATAGTTCTAACATTTTTACAAAACAGTCAAGTGGAATCCAATGTTCTAAGTTATACACCAGCAATTCGTAATTCTAATTATCATACAGTTCAGACCCCAAGAGTGGTCTATCATTACTTTATGTCATTTGCAAAACAAGGAGAACTTAATACAACCTGCAGAGCTAATTTACAGGGAAATCTGTCAGCTCTGATAAACAGATTTCTTTTATTAATTAAAATGTAATTTGCTCTGGTTTCTGAATGTTCAATACTAAGATATGAATGTAAACTTGAGCCACACTATGGACTTTTCATTTTCAGGAAAGAACCTGGAGTAGATTTTTTTTTTAACATAACATTGGCAACTTATTAAACATCCAATATACTAAAGCGGTAGGTGCTTAAGTAGCTATTTCCATGCTTAAATCTAAGGGGCACTGAAGAGTCACAAATAGTAGGTGCTTTAGTGATACCTAAACAGAAATAAAATTCCAATATTAAGAAAATCCTTTCACTGAAATATGTCATTTTACTTATGTTAGTTAGAATATCAATTATGGAACACTTGAGCCAACTGCTGGAGAAGAACAAAACTGCAGTGAAGTAATAAATGGATCATTTAAGCGGTATGTATATATAGTACATAGACAGAAATTAGCTTATTAGCCAAGGAGACCAGAGTTCAGCACCTACACTGCCACATATCTTCTGTATGGACTCAGTCAAACTGCTTAGTCTTTTTCTGCCTTAGTTCCTCCATCTGTAAAATACAGATAAACAGTATTTCCCCTCCTTGTGAGTGATGATAAATATATTAGAAACGGTGAGATTTTCTGAGGACCATGTAAGTACTTGAGTATAAAAACTACCTACACAAATAATATGAAGAATTGTTTTCTTTGGGAGAGATGAAAACATGATCGTGACATTATTTTGCATCTCGCTGAAGTCCATATATTTTCTATGGATCAAATTATCTACCAAAACCATATACAGTCCCATAGAAATTCATGAAGTTGCAACAGGTGCAAGTACAATAATTTTACCTTGAGCTATAGAAAAGCCTATATTTAGAAAACTCTTAAATGACAATCAGCAATTCATCATTAAAAAGATAATTTTAAAAAACCAAAATAGGCAGTTTTGGTTAAAAAAAAAAATAAAGGTTCACTGAAACCAATGGAAATTTTGCCATTGACTTCAGTGGGAGCTGGCACAAGCTCCTGATGACAAGCAAAGAGTAAAGTTTCCAAATATTGGGAGACCCCCAGATCTACAGTGTAGTGATCAGATGCAAAATAAAGTGATTACCATCCTGTAACTGAAATACTGAAAGAAAACAAGGATTGGTACTTGTATCTTTACATGGCTATATTTGTGAAAAATTGTGGTTATTACACAGTATTCAAGAATAAAATCAATATTTTTGAAAATTTGAATTAAACAAGGTTGCAGGAATTTTTTTTCAAAATTCACCCATAAAGTGGTTTTCAAAATTGCACTTGAATTTAAAGAGGCCAGTGAATTATCAGTATTTAGTTTTGGTGTGAACAGAATGTTGGTAAAATATACCAGATGGACAACACTCAGCAGTAACAGAAATTGACAGAGCACACTCAACAAACTTGTCCACACTGTACAAGCAACGTGCCTCATCCAAGACCTGATGGGACCATATCCATGGGTAAGAAAATATTGTAGTTCTATTTCCAGCATTTGTAATCATTAGCCATAATAGAAAGCCATGGAGAGCAGCTTATGGATGTGAATACTTGGGGTGTGCCTAGACTACTCCTCTCTGTCGATAGATGTAGATTAGGCACATCGAAATTGCTAATGAAGCGGGGATTTAAATATCCCACACTTCATTAGCATAAACATGGCTGTCGCTTTTTTCAAAACTGAGCTTTTTCATTAAAAAACGGCAGTCTAGACGCAGATCTGTTGAAAAATAAAGCCTTTTTTGAAAGATCCCTTATCTCCCAAAAAGTGGTTTACAGGATCTTTCGAAAAAGGCTTTATTTTTCGACAGATCTGTGTCGAGACTGCTGTTTTTTTCAAAAAAAGCTCAGTTTTGAAAAAAAGCGGTGGCCATGTTTATGCTAATGAAGTGCAGGATATTTAAATCCCCACTTCATCAGCAATTGCGACATGCCTAATCTACATCTCTCTGTCAACAGAGAGGAGTAGTCTAGACATACCCTTGGAAATGAAGTAAGATAGCCTTGTTACACATGGCCAACGTGTGTAAACTTTTGTTCACTACTGACCATGGTTGAGTGTAAACAGAGTTCCATTCCATTGTGACAAAGGCACTCAGTACTGAGTATGAGAAAACCCATGAGCAAGAATTATTCAAGGGTTAACAGGAAAAATACTAATTTTATTTTTTACATATTAAACCCCAAAGTAAAACTTGGAAAGGAAGCTTGCTCTGAAGTGCACACTTCAAGCATGAATTCCATCTTTCTTCTGTCGCTGTGGAGTAAGCAGAACTCTGGGCACTCTTACCAATGGGGTGTATTTATATTTTTACCTGTTTAAGTCAGTAAAGTGCCTAAGACACACAATTTTAGACCATATGAGGGAGATTTTGTTATTGCTATTCAGACCCTTAAGTAAATTGATGGGAGTGCAACATTCCAGGAGTGAGAATTGTTTGTTTTTGTTAATCAATTAAAACACCAAAAAACAAAACAAAAACGAGAAAACACTCATATTGGAGGGAACCTAACATAGAAAGGTAGAGGAATTAGAACATTTACAATCTTGGATTCTGGAAACCTGTATTTACATATTTGGGCTTTGTACACATACAGTTCCAGTTCACACATACTGAGAACACATTACCCCAGTTCTATTGAAACCATTCTGCTAATATTCTTTTGTCCACTTTTGGACACTATCAGTAAACAAGTAAGTTGTAAAAAATAAATGTAGACCTTCTAACATGATTTGAATATTCATTTGTCTTTGGTTATTTTATAATTTAATCTTTTTTGAAATGGGAACTGCAAGCATTCTGACAAACTTTCAGTTCATTTAAACATCTCTAAAGCTTCACTGAATTCATTTTTGTCCTCTGCTAAAGCATCTTTTGTGACTCTCCATAGCACTTCATACGAAGCTGGGCAGAAAATGGAAATACCTTCCTGTGAAAAAATGTTGTTTTTGAAAAAAATTCAAAATGTCAAAAGCAAAAATTTTGCCTCTGAAGAGTTACAACAACAAAAAATGTTTCAGTAGAAATAAACTGGACATTTTAAGTTTTCCCACTGGTCTAATGACCTTGTCAGTTTCACTTCCTGCCCTGCTGACAGACAGACCTGAGTCTTCAGCCTTCTCCCAATACTCCTACAGGTATGGTTAGGCAGAAAGCCTGTGTGCTCAGCCTCCTAACAACTCCTCAACAGGAGCCAAACAGTTCAACTACTCAACCTCCTGGCCAAACCCCTCTTTTCCCAGCTTCCAATGCAGAAAGATTGCCAAGCATGTGCCTAACTCTGGGACTAGTCACATGCTTAAAGTTCAGCATGTGCTGAAGTACGTTGTAGAAGTAAGATCTAAGTTTATCTAATTATTTATTTATTTTTACAGATGGTCGCCTGTCATAATTTAAATAATGAAGTAGAGCTGGTGAGAAACTTTTAGTCATACTTTGTGGAAAAATGCCATGTACTAATATTTCTGACATATTATGAAATAATATAAAGATATATAAATGAAAATACACAGACAATAAAATTTGAAGTAAATGTCACAATATTGAAACAGAAATTATTGGAAAGTCTGTTTTGTGGAGAATTCTAAAATGTTGACATTTCCCTTGAAGTGAAAATTCTGAGTTTCAACAGCTTTATAATTAACTTTCCCATTCTTTATGAATCACTTCAAAAACTAGGAATTGCCCTAGCACATTTATACTGTGCTACATGTTGGCAGTATACAAAACCCCCCGTGACATCTTTGAAAATTTTAAAATAGTTTTGAGGTTATAAGTAGTAAGGACCATATGCAACATTTACAAACATTTATTTTTAGAAGTCTAAATATGAGTTTGTGAAATCAAAATCTACAACTGATGTTTGTATCATGCTCTTCTGCAAAACAAACACAGGTAACTTGCTGTATGGAAGACCTGCAACATAATATTTGTTTCACACTGCAGAGTTACACATAATATTCTGAAAAAAACTGTTAGATATTACATCACCTTCCAGGACTGACTACGATACTTAATAGGTACTTTCTCAATGGATGTTCATCCACAGGAAGCTTAGAAGCACATACTGGAATATCTATAAACACACTATAACAAGAGCAAACTCTTCTTAAACTTAATTTTAACTTTTTTCTCATTAATATGCTCTAATAAGATTACAATTTTTACACACATGTTAGTTCTCAGGGGAAAAACCTAATAACCTGGTTGCTCCAGAGCCTCAGTGGCAAAATGCTATTTTCATTTTATCCAGCTCCCTGGCAACGAAAGTCAAAAACTTGCCACAGATTACTGAGACTACTTTTTCCACAAGTGGAACAAAAACATCACAACTGAAAGTTCATAAAATATTATTTTGAGAATGCTTATCCATGTGAGCACAACACAATTCAGGACTTTCAAATATTACAAATGTTTTATAAACAAAACTAAAAATTATTTAAAAATCAAGCATTTTTCCATACTGGTTCTCTTGGTCTTTTCTGTGTCCGTAGCTGCAATGCTGTGAAAAAAATAACTGTTAGGTATTAGAAATTCTGTAGAACCATTAGCACATTTATAATATTTAATTTTATTTAGTTTTAAAGTAATGAAGATACCTGTCCAAGGTTCTAGGCACCTTAGCTACACAGTAAATACAATCCTAGGAGCTTTAAAGTAACCATTTCAAAAGGAATTCAACCAGCCAAACATCTAATGAGTTCTTTCCAGTCCTTTACTGTAAAAAGAATCATTCCATTACTCCTCTCCAAAAATCCTATCAAACAGATGTGGCTACACTGGGAAAACCCCTCTAGCCGGCCAATCACTTAAAGCTTGTTTTTCTGGTCCATGCCAAGGTGGCTGCCCTGGGAAAACCCCTCTAGATGGCCAATCACACAAAGCTTGTTCTTACAAGCTTTTACAGGAGGAATCTTGTTTTTGTTTTTTAATGATTCTACCATCTGTTTGAAGTGAAAGGCTCTGGAGACTGAAGTGCCTACTTACTAAGGAGGAGTTTTTAACTTCAGTTCCCTGTTCCTATGGATTTTTATTACAACAATAAGCCATTAGATGTCACTTTTGTCTAGAAAAAATTTATAACTGCAGCACCATCCATACATAGTAGTGTTAATGGAGAGTTAACTTTTCTGTTGTGAAATCAGCAGAAATTCTGAAACAACGTGATAGAGCTAGCAGTATAACTTAGTAGACATTAAAAATATAAGTGATCATCACACAACTATTCAAATGAAGTTAAAACTTGTCAGCATCAACTTTTTCAGTGCACTATCCACTGGCAATGAAGTTCACATGTGGTATGCTAATCACAGAGTTATTTACTATGCTATACATATAGCTAAGTTATACAGCCACACAATTTATTTTCTAGTTCAAAGTGTTTTACTTTCTGCACTTGAATACTCACCTATTTATGCTACTTTTTCTCACATTTAGACGCAGATTTCTCCAAAACAAAGGAAGCCTTTTCCACAATAGTCTTAATAGACAAGCCACTTAGGAATCCTTTATTATTTGTTCTGACTTCCACTAACGCATCCACAATGTTGTCGCTAAACATGTAAGATAGAAATAAGTCTTTAACCAAGTGAAGTTATATACACGTGTTTTCACCAGTGTTGTCTTCAAGTTGTCATTGTCAAGTCCAAGTTGAGTCTCAAGTCACTACAGTTCAAGTCTCAAGTTGAGTCTCGAGTCCCTAAAGTGACTTTTGAGTCAAGTCCCAAGTCGAGTCTCAAGTCTTAATTTAAAAAATGCAAAGTCACTTTTGTACAAGCCATCAATAGCGGCATTGTCTGACAATTTTTTCACCAAGTCGATTTAACAAAATTAGCAAGTCTCAAATCGAGTCTCAAGTCACAAACAATGAACCCGAGTCGAGTCTCAAGTCGAGTCACCTAGGAAACTTAAGTCGGACTCGAGTCCAAGTCGTGGGACTTGAGTCAACAACTCTGGTTTTCACAGATTCCACGTTTATCATTTCATTTGACTATTCTGAATACTGGATTCTTAAATCAGAGGAGAAAAAACAAATGTTCTTACCTACTAGCCTTGGGATGTAGTTCTTTTAGTTTCTTCATCAATTTGGTAAAGCTGCTCAAGTTCAAAGTGTTAGGCGGTATAAAGGTAGCAGATGGATTAGGAGAGAACTGAACAGGTTTTACGCGCAGAGGATTCTCTCTGATACTCTAGATGCATATTAAAACAAGTGAACATGGATTGTGTTAAGTACTGTATGGATTGCTTATCCTAATTGGCAAAAAATTATTGCTTCTGTTATGTACCATTTTTCAAACTATTGAAGCAATTACAGATTTAGTTTAATAGTAATATACCAGGATCAAAACTAATCATGTTACAATGCAACTAACTAATGTATGTCAGAAATATTTATAGAAAGAGTAGGCATGACACAAAAAATTGTTTACACCATCTCTTTAAAATATTCTTTTTTTTAAATTACCATGTTTATGTTTTTTCCATGTGTAACCATGTTAAATTAAGCAAAATCTAGATTGCTCTAGGAACAGTCATTTTTATATTAAATCAAAATAGAATGAGTTTTCAGAGGGTTTGTTTAAATAATCACAATGTTGAGACTGAATAAAGTCAGTGGACAAAGAAAATCTGAAAATGAATTCATCATATAATTTAGGATACAATTTAAACAACTTTTTCCACGTGGTCCTCTGCCAAACACAAATGTTTCTTGTGTTTTAATAAATCATAATCCATTACATTTATACAAACTTATTCAAAGTGAAAACTTTTAAATCTAAAAGAAAAACCAAAATAAAATCATAGTCATTCCAGAGATGAAATGTAAAGATATTGTTATTTGATGAATTAATGTCAATAAAGAAATAAAGGTGGCGATATCAACATTAGGCAGGAGAAGATGGAGAGATATGTCCCTTTCACAATATACCACAAACACTAATTTTTGAGCACTTTTCACAAGGCAACACTGCTGCAAAATATACTAAGTACAAAGAAAGAATTAACTTAAATTTTTAAAATTCATCATAATCTGTCACAGAAGTAATAATTTACCTGTTGATCTATTGAAAATAAGAAGTGCTCTAATTGATGTCTAGGTGGCTTTAAATCAGAACTGAGCCTTTTTGAAGATGCCAGAGTAGGGGCAAACACTGTTGAAGAAGCTGAGGGAGGAGCAAGTGTTTTCAAACAGGCTGAGGTGGTAGAAGGCACTTTCAAAGAGTCGGAGGCAGAACAGGTAGTTCTGGCTTGAATATTTTTTTCAAAATTATCAGTGGCTTGATTTTCACAGTGAAGTGGTCTGGAAATCTTTTGAGAAGCTGGAACTATATTTACTCCTGAAGTTTTTACAAGATGAACATTTATTGCTTTTCCTTTGATTTCTTTTCCATTCATTTCTTCCACTGCCAATTTTGCTTTGCTAGCATTCTTTAAACTCAGAGATGCATATCTAAAATTTAAAAATATGTGCAAGAACTAAGAAAAAAAACTTTATTATACAATGTACCAGCTTCCATATGTGGACGATACATAATCCATTAATTACAAATGCTTTTGATTATGGTGCAACAACATATTAGGTACAGCTTTTAACTAAACTACGGTACTTTAATCCAGCAAGGACAACATTTTATAATTGGTAATTTCCAGCAACATGTCAACTGTTTTTGGAACTCAGACATTGCCAGTTTACATCTAAGACATAACTTGTATAATATGTATTGATTTTATTAAAATTCCACTGACATTAAATTTACAAAGAAAAAATACTTTCCCAAGTGCCACTTACTTTGTCAGTAACAACTGTAATAAAAATAAAATGTACATTAATATGACTGTACCTGTAGTTACTAGAAAACTCACATATCGAAACCTCCGAAACTTGATACTTCTGGAAATGAGACCTTAAATCAGCCTACAACAGATAGCATAGTTAGGATGTAAAATACAACATGAAAGTAATTTACTAGATAAACAAGATATTATTTAAAGAAAGGATATTTTACCTCTGACACTGCAGGACTTAAGCCACCAACATGAATAAAATAATGCTTGTTTGGCTCACTTTTTGAACTCTTCATCTTTATTTCTGGTAGTATAGAAATATAAAAAATATCAATGCGCTAGTCCTTATTCAATCTACAATAAATTAACGGTGAAAAACAAAAATATATGAAGGGTAAACAGTATCTCTAACAATAGCAAAGGGATTGAATGGAAAAAATGCGTTTCATGATTAGACTCCTACCAAATTCTTGGTCCATTTTGGTCAAGTTCAAGAGAATAGGATTTTTTTTTAAAGCACATTTGATGATTTCAGCTATTTAAATCTGAAATTTCATGGTGCTAATTGTGAGGAGCTGGGCAACTGGAGAGTAATGGCAGCAAGCTAGAAGCTCAGCTCTGAAAGCAGAGCGGCAGCCAGTTGCAGTGCATAAGTAAGGATGGCCTGGATGGTATTGCCTCCCCAGTGAAATCTATATAGTATAGCATAAAAGCAAGCAAAAGCTCATATTTCACAGCAAGAGATCAGATTTCATAGTCCTTGCCATGTTTTTCATGGTTTTGAATTTGGTAGGGCCTATTTATGATACAATAGGAAAAGGCCGAAACTACATTTGTTTTCAAAGTGTTGCCTTAAAATACTACATTGAAAACTATATATTTGACATTTTGTAATGGGAAACAAAAAGACCAGGAGCATTCTTTGATGTGCTTCTACAAAATCTGGCAAATGGATTCTAAAGACAGTGCACAGGTTTTAATTTAAAATTGTATATGTCTAAGTAATTTCCTTAATTCTAACCAATAAGTTCTTTTCCAGGACTCAAAACTAGTCACACCTAATCACAAACTGGTCATCACCTAACCCCTCAAGAAAATCTTAGCACTCTGACAGCTTTCTAAAGGAGGTACTTGTGTCAAACACTGCCCAAGAATGCAAATAAGGGCTTCAAAATATTGATGTGCTTCAGCTACTATACATAAAGCATAGCTAGATAGTCCAATGGTGTCAAAATGTGGCTTTAAGTCCTTTTCTGTTAAATTAGAGTGTCTCAATCTTTTTTGGACTGCAAAATACAAAGTGGCCAAAAATCATTCTGCAAGTCACAATATTCTGCAGCCCACTGAACCTCCATAAGACTGGACCACAGAACACTTTTAGGGTTTGGAGTTTTTTGAGAACCCTAAAAAATGGGATTTAAAAAATGGGTACCTGGAGCTGCTGTCATTAATGGGGTGAGATGCTTATGCTGCTGATGGGAGTTTTGGGGATGTCAGGTAGCTGTTGCTGCTGAATGGTAGCTGTGAGAGAGACTGGTGCTCTATGGTAGAATGGGGAAGGACATTCCTTCCATGTTCCCGGCATTCACCTGTACAACACTCATATTCTGGTCAGTGCCACATCAAGGGACTGTGAGGTCAGCCTCAAAGCCTCTTGAAGTACTGACTGCTCCACCCTGGAGCAAAGCCCCATGTAGGTAGGTATGAGGGTGAAGGGCAAGAAGGGGAAAGGTGTCAGCAGCTAGAAGGAATAGGAGCAAGTTGATGCTTTCCTCCTATAGCTACTATAGTTTCAGGAACCCAGAGATTATTGTTGATTTCACCTAACAGGGTACAGTCCACTAGATTACCCTCTGCAAACCACTTCTGGCACACAGAGTGAAATGACTCAGGAGCAGAAAATCCACTGATGTATGTGGTAGTGACGCAGAGACATCAAGCTGAGCTGTGAAACATATACTAAGAATCAAATAGGCTTGAAATGCTATTAAACAATATTTCCTGTAAGAATAAAGTCATGGAAAAGGCAATGCTATGCAGCTATGGAGCAAGATAGTTGGTTGCCATGACTATGGGGAGCTCTTCACTGACTGCAATCAGCAATGTACTAGTTGGAACACTAAGTAGTATCAAAATTCCATTGCATGAAGGGTATAACCATAGTTGCTGACTCTCTGGATGCTCCAGAACTGGAGCACCCGTGGAAAAAAAAGCTAACAGCCACTGAGAACCATGCTCTCTCTCCCCCTCCCCCCCCCATTCCCCACAGTGCAAGAAGATGCTGGATGGAGGCTTGAAGGACGGGGTGGAGGAGGCAGGGCCTATGGCAGAGGGGGAAGAAGTAGAGTGGGGGCACAGCCTAGGGCAGGGAGAGTCATGCATGCTGCAGGAAGATAGGAAGTCAGTGTATGAGTGTAACATGCCTTCTCTCCTCTTATGGAACTCTAAAGGTTTATCCTTTTACTACACTTAGAGTAGTTTCAACCATGCCCTCATGTAAAGGCACAATCTCAAATGTGTGATTCTGTTCTAAATCTCTCTGGAGGCGTCAATATTAGAAAAAAATTAGAGAGGAATATTTCCAGCTCTGTGTTAGATGACATAAATAAATATTGTTTTGAAAGTGTTGCCCAGAGTGGTAAATTTTACACAATAGCTAGAAGGAAAATGTTTACATTCTGTATAGAAAACTCACTGCAAGAAAGGAAAGAGATGAGTACCAAAAGAATATGAAAAAGTAGCACTTGAAAACCCAGCGAATCTTTCAGAGAAGCAATGGTCAATAAAGCAACATCAATGCTATTCTTACCTAAACCTGAGTAGTCAACTCACCTGTCGTACTGACGACTTTTTCTAGATTTTCTTGTTCCTTTTCACTCCCCTGAAGTGTTACAATGGCTGATTTTTCAGTAAAGTTTTCTTTAGCATCAAACCAGTCTTCAAACCAGTCTTCATTTATATCTTGATTTTTACTGCAGTCTGCAAGACAGTTAAAGCAAACAGTTTCATGTACTAAAAATTCCAAAAATTTTGGAAGGATATATACATCAACTATTATATTTATAAGGCAGAGCTGCCTGCAGAAATGAGCACAAAGCTGGAATTAGGATGCCTTGAGCACTAATCCTGACAATGCCAGTGACTCTCATGTCCTCGGGCAAGTGATTTTACCTTTCTGTCTCAGTTTCATCGGTAAGATAGGAATAACTTTTGCATAACATGCACATAGTTCCTTTTTCAAAATAGAAAGGTATTAAAATATTGTTTGTTAGATTTTGTACCGGTACACAATACAGACTTCAGACTTCTGTAAAACGGAGTATAAAGTAGTTATCACTTACAATTTACAGCATTGTAAAAAGAAAATGGTTTTCAGCAGAGAAGAGCCACTGACCATAAATCTGGCTTTGAACAGAGATGGTGAACAGGATTCTGAGAGAGCTACATCAATCAAAATCTATTCTCAGCTCGCCTACCTCTGACTGACATGAGTTGGCAAAAACCAATGTGTTGTTAAGACTGGATGGTAGTGAATGAAAAAGGTATGCCCACATACACATATATAGGAATCATCATTATTTATTTGTATAAATGAACCAATGGTGATTCATAATAATCATTTTAAAGGATTTTAAAAATAAATTGTTAATCACACTTGTACTGATTCACTGAAGCTTGATTCTGCACACATCATAATTTTGCCATTGCTGCACCATTCTGTGTATCAACATGGCACACCAAAAAAAGAGACAGAAATATAGCCGTGTTAGTCTGGTGTAGCTGAAACAAAAAACAGGACTATGTAGCACTTTAAAGACTAACAAGATGGTTTATTAGGTGATGAGCTTTCGTGGGCCAGAACCACTTCCTCAGATCAAATAGTGGAAGAAAATTGGCACAACCATATATACCAAATGATACAATTAAAAAAAATGAACACATATGAAAAGGACAAATCAAATTTCAGAACAGGAGGAGGATGGGGGGGGAGGCGAAGGTAAATGTCTGTGAGCTAATGATATTAGAGATGATAATTGGGGAAGCTATCTTTGTAAAGGGTAAGATAATTAATGTCTTTGTTTAAACTTAGGCGTAAAGTGTCGAATGTAAGCATGAATGTCAGTTCAGAGGATTCTCTTTCAAGTGTGGTCTGAAAAGGTCTTTGAAGCAGGATGCAGGTAATCAAGTCGTTGAGACAATGTCCTTTCTGGTTGACATGGTAAGAAACTGTTTTTTCTTTGTGATCCTGTCTAATATCTGTTTTGTGGGCATTGATTCTTTGGCGAAGCGTCTGAGACGTTTGCAATTACATAGAAAATAATGCTTGCGCATGTTTCTATTTCTTAGTTACATTACCCAAACTGACAGACTGCAGCGTGTAGCTGATTTAACATTAAATGGCCCCTTAAGGAAAGAGCTGTAGAGTATCAGTGTGGATGTTTTAATCAGATGTTTGGGTTTTTAGCAAATTCACAACACAAGTAATAAATACATTATACTGCTCTTACTGAACTTTATTGTCAAATCTAGAATTAGATAAATCTAACTTACCACTTTCTATATCTGGATCTTCATGTTTTATTTCAAGGTTCTTGTTGGAAGGATCATGTTTACTCTGCCTGTTGCCAGTTAAACACATCATTTCAGGAGTAACCTATAAACAGGCTCCCATCAGTTATTTGCTGAGTAACAATACTTTTTTTTTAAAAAATGTATAATATAACATTTTTCTAAGTCTAACACTACAGATGTATTAATCAGCTATGGAAAAAAATTTGCTCAATAATCTTTGCTCAAGATCTCAATAATGTTTTGCATTTCAAAAGTGTTATGATCCCTTAGTAGTACCAGTTGCACTGCACTCTTTTACTAGCACTGAGATATATACAAAGAAATATCAGTTCTTGGATGGGTGTAAAGATCAAAATTATATTTGTATATACTACTTTAAAATATATCTACATTTTCTTTAATAGTAGCTTATAAGCAGGTTCCAAAACAAGTGTTCAGGTAACTCACTGGAAGTGGTGTTCTTTCCAGGTTGGAGGAAATTTCACTTTCTTGTTGGGACTTTTCTAATCCTGACTTTTCTGCCTCAGAAACAGAACTAGAAAATAAGATGCAACATTATGTTGAAAATTCTAATAAATTCTAACAGAGTTTCCTGATATCCACTGTAATTTTCAAAATGGAAATAAGTTTGTTTAATCTCTAAACTACAATTTTTTTCCTTTCTTCAATGTACTAAAAAAAATACATAAACATCAACACATCCGGTGTGAAAGATACTAAAGTTTAATATTTGAATACAGAGTTTATAAAGAAAGAATAATTATACATGTAAAGGTTTTATAAACATACTAGAAATTAATAAAAAAAGCAAAAATGTAGCTTGCCCCATGCTAGGAATATTTTACCATTTAATTTAATTTAATTAAAATTTTTAGAAAAATCAGTTAGTCGTTAAAATCAATTATTTGGTAATGTGATACATACTAAAAGAAAAATATCAATTCTACAAAACATTTTAGAGGACTTTTTAGTCATCTACCATAATACTGCCTGTCTTACCTACTTTTATTAATAAAATCACTATCTATTTTACACTGTTTTGTATACATTTTTATGTAAGCAGCAATTTTTGAGTTCTTTATTTCTACAGTTATATTTCTCATTTTAAGAATATACTGCAAGATATTTACTTTGACTATATTTAATGTGATTAAGATTTTTAACATGGAAAATATCTCTCAAGGCCTTTCAAGAACGTGGCCATCATAACATAAGAAAATATAGACCAGCAGATGGAAGTCACAAATAGCTGCCAAATGCACACTGATAGAAATCAGAGTGCAATAGTCCTTGGTTCTTCAGGTGAAGCAGGTAATCCAAAAATTGCCGTAAGTGAAGAATGCAAAGGGGAAATGCCCCATTCGGCTGCCCAGCGGGAAAATCTTGTCATTTTTCCAGGTAGATTTGTCTGGTTGAGGGTTTTTGACCCCAAAGAGTATCTGCTGGACCCCCTCCAAACAGGTCCTTTCTTGAGGGGTCAGCCATGCAACACCCATATGGGCAGATGAAGAGATGAGAAGTTGGTTGCAAGAAATGGCAATGTCCTTGACACAGTAGGTCTGGCCAGTCCAAAAGGGGCCACAGGTTGGGGAGGACTGCTGCCAGGCTCAACAGTATGTTGAACAAATGACTGCACAGCTACCCTGGTTCAACCATGATAACCTGGGCCTCATTTCATTTGATCTTTACCAGAACCTTGTTGATGAGAGGGATCTTAAGGAAGGCGTCCACTGCTTTCTGGGATAACCAGCAAGGAGAAAGCTGGGCTACACTGCTCAGTATGAGCAGGGGCCTGAGAACCTGATTGGGGGGGGGGGGTGAAGAGATGCCCAAGGTAGGGTCAAGGTCTCCCCCAGATTTGTCCTTTCCCTTGCAGGAAACTAGAGACTTTCCTCTCCCCATCTTCCTTGGTTTTTTGGATGGTGGGACTGGTGCTGGCTTGCAGATAGTACTGGCAGGGGGTTGTACACTGAAGTCACAGTGCTCAGTGTCAAATTGGAGTGCTGCTCCGGCATCAGGGTGAGGGCACACTCCATAAGGAGCGTTTTTAAAGAAATCTCCTGCACCTCCTTCCTTCAAAGTTTGAAGGATTTGAAAATTCTGCTCTTATCACTAAAGTGACCTTCACCAAAGCACCATAAACAACTATTATGCGGATAGCTAATGGAAACAGACTTCTTGCAGCGATCAGAGGACTTCAGGACTGCGGAATGCCCTGTCCCAAGGCAAAGTCCATTCAAGATCTAACAGCACTCTAATTATCCCAGATGTAACCAGAACTAGAGGGAAACAAACCAAAAACAACAAAGAACTTGAAGAAAGAGTTCGAACGAACAAAAAGAAACAATACTAGCTGAAGCAGCACACTTCCAGCACCATCACTGGCAGCAAGAAGGAATTGAGGGTGGGGGTAACCAGCAATACTCCGTATACAATGGCATGTACAGTAAACTTCCGATAATCCGGCACCTTGAGGACCCAGGGGGTGCCAGATTATCAGATATGCCGGACTATCAGAAGGGGGGGCTATGAGGGGTGTGGGGTGGGGTGGGGGGAATGCCACTCCAGACCCCTCATAGCCCCCCCTTCTGATAGTAATCGGGGACACCTGCAGCAGAGCAGCTGGAGTGCTGCCCGGTTGGTCCGGTAGTGCCGCCCCTTGGTGCAGCAAGACCAACTCGGCAGCACCCCAGCTGCTCTTGGGGACGCCTGGAGCAGAGCAGCTGGGGGGCTGCCAGGTTGGTCCAGTAGCGCCGCTCCTCGGCATTGCGAGACCAATCCGGCAGCACCCAAGCTGCTCTGTCCCAGGTGTACCCAAGTCAGCTGCTGCTGAAACTGATCAGGGGCTGATTCCAGGAAGCCGGGGCAGAGCAGCTCTGCCTTGGGCTTCCTGGAGTCAGCCGCTGGTCAGTTTCAGCAGCGGCTGAATGGGGGACAGATGAGGTGCTGCCGGGTTGGGTCCGGCAGCCCCAAGGGGCAGCGCTATGGGACCTACCTGGCAGCACTCCAGCTGCTCTGCCCCCGGCTTCCCCAATTCAGCCGCTGAATCCAGGAAGCTGGGGGCAGAGCAGCTCCAATGGTCCGGCTGTCCAGAGCACTTCCGGGTTCCTGATGGTGCCGGACCATCAGATGCCGGACCATCGCAGTTTTACTGCACACGCTACTCCAGTGGGTGCCAGAAGCACTCCCCTACAGATAGTGATATGGGAAAAATCTTCTGGTACAAATGCTTGTGGCGAGCACACACACTTAAGCTGAATAGACATAAGCAATCAATAAAAGAAGAAGATTACTGATGGAAATATGCCCCCAGAAATAATACAGCCTGAACAACCCAGATGGAAACTGAATAACGAGTGCTAAGAAATATACTTATTTGCAAACTTAGAAAATCTGAAGCGAAGATCATGGAGATACAAATATAGAACTCTACAATACCACTTATATACAATAACTTTGCAGAGTAAAACCTCACTCTAAACATAAGATCACACTGCCCAAAGTGCCAACCTACTTTTTCAGCTAAACAGAGCTGAAATAACGAGTGAAGTTCTAACACACACAAACACACACACTTTTACACAATTTATTTTGCTCTCACTTCTGACCTCTATCTTAATCTGAATATATAAACAAAAATTGTAATTACTTACTTATAAAGAAAGTCCTCTTTCATTAACTGTCAAGAAAAAGATTTCCATTATTTTTTCAATAAAATGTTTATATTTAAAGTAAAAAAGTAACAACAATAAAAAAAGTCTACTTTACCTTTGAAGGAACATAAGAAGAAAAGATTGAGAGCAATTTTGATTCTACTGATAATGGAGGCAGTGTATCCAATGGCATCCCCATTACTAACTTTTCTCTCATGCTCTCATACCTAGCCTTCAGATCATCAAAAACAGACAACAGAGATGAATCTAGTTCAGTCTTGGCAAGGTCACTTTCAAAATTCCTGAAAACATATAAAAGAACACTTAAAATACATAGTAGGACATTCCTGTTACATTATTGCTTCTATAAGGATAAAAAATATTTTATGGTGCCTCAAGATTTTTAATGTCCCAGCACCTTCCCCACCATATGCCAATAAATCTATTCTTTCTGATAAACATTAGCTTAGACCACCTTGGTCTTCTGTGATCTCTAATGCAGTTTTCTTTGGGGAATTATTTCAGGATTTTTTTTTTCTATATAGATTCTTGCATCAAAGTATTACTGGAGTTCTTCACTTGGCTCTTTGAAACAATGCTTATCTGTATTATTTAAAAGTCTTAATTAAAATACATTTAAAATACAGTAGGGCAATGTGTTTCTTATTTGTAATTTTATCTTTTCATTAAATAGTCAGGGGCTGACAGCTAGGACCTCGCTGGCAGCAGAGACTGCAGCACAGGGTCCAAGGACTTACCCCTGCACTCTTACCCCTCTGCCCCTACATTCCCAGGGTAAAACGTTTAACTGTGTAACCAACAGAATTCTGATCTGTTACACAGTTATTTTTGTATATTTTTTACATCCCTACTAGAGATTCGTGGTGCTTGCAATACAAAAGAGCCACAGTTCCAACAGCTCTCACTGGTGATAAGAAGGAGCTGAGGGGCAGTCGAGTCGCGTTAGCAGGGTCATATATATTGTGACGCATGATTACACTGATAACTATTCTCTGAAAGGTTATCCGAGTTATGCACCTACTTTATAGTAGCTCCATTGAGGTTATATTTCCTTACATGTATCACTTCCCTCCTACCCACAAGGCTTGTTATCCTATCACAGAAAGCTATCAGGTTGGTTTGACATGATTTTTTTTGCTGTTATTTATCACCTTATTACCTTCTAGATGTTTGCAAACTGATTCCTTATTTATTTGCTCTATTATCTTTCCTGATACAGAAGTTAAACCGACTGGTCTTTAATTCCCTGGAATTGAATCATGGGTCCAGTTCCAAGTTCTGAAGAGGAAGTGTAATTTAGTGGTAATAAACTCTCTTGTCTCTGTCACAGCCTCACCCCAGCCTGTCTACCCCTCTTACTTCTCATCAAACCACTCCCAGGCTCCTTACCGTGGGTCCCGTGTATCTTCTCTTCTCCCACCTCTGCTCAGTACGAGCATGCTCCTATGCATTCTTCTAGCTCCTTTCTCTATCTCACTTGGTTTCTATTTCCCTGTGCCTCTCTTTTCCTACGTTGGCCCTCACCCTCAGGCATTTGAATCAGGTTGCTTCCTACTTCTGTGCTCTCTGGGCACCAACACTGGTACAATGAAAGCACAAAAGACTATTTTCCTATTCTAAGTTCCAATACTTGGCACAAGTGAGCTGATTTAGCTGAAATTTTCAAAGCACACACATACACAGAGCTAGATATGGAAAATTTCAGGCTCAATGGTTGAAGTATGACAAAGTGCTAAGCAACTAAAAACCGGATCTACTAACGGAAAGAGTCAGGTAATCTCTACTAAATGCATCACTATCTGCTCTACCTATAATAAAACAGTCCTATTCAGCAACTAATGCCCTCCTAGTACATAAACAGAACACAAAAGACAATAAAAGCTTTGTTATCCATCATGTTGGGGGATTGGGGATGTCGATAAGTCAAAACTTCTGGTTAACTAGAAGGAAGGAAGTTCAAACAAATGCATATGTAGAAGAATGCATACTGTATTTTTCATAGCAATAACTAATATTAATCAGATTTGGAATACGTTAATTTCACAGGATATTATCAAATAACTACCATGCATTTGGCTGACACTCAAATGAATTTTAGGAAAGCATTTGCTGCTGCTATATTTAGTTTTACAACCAGTTGGATTTCTTAAATTACATACTATTGAAAAATATCACATATCTCTTTTATTCAAGAGAAATAAAATTAATTCATGCCTTTTAAAACATTCTCTTTCGTCCATAACAAGTCTGTAAACCTTCCAGCAGTGCTGATGACACATCCAATAGTGAATTCTTAGAAGCTGCAATTCTGCTTTTATAGCTCTCTGCTGAATCATCCTACAACAGTTTAATGAATAATTCTTCTCAGTTTCTTTGCAAAGATGCAGCAACCTTCAAAAGGAAAATATATTATTGAATTAAGTGAGAAAATATTTCTTTATTTATGTAAAAATTAGGAGTCCTGTGGCACCTTAAATTAAAACTAACACATTTATTTGGGCATAAGTTTCCATGAGCTGGAACCACTTCATCAGATGCAAGAAGTGGAAACCACTGTTTGGCAAGTATATATACACACATGCAAAGATTGGTGTGTTATACTATTATGCTGAGGACAAATGCTAATGAGGTCAATTCAATCAGGCCCTTTCCCAATTTAATCAGGCCCTTTCCCAACAGTTGATGAGGTGTCACAGGACCCAACTACATCAGCTGCACCACCAGGGGCTCATTCAGCTGCACATCTACTAATGTGATATATTCCATCATGTGCTAACAATGCCCCTCTGCCATGTACACTGGCCAAACAGGACCGTGTCTCTGCAAAAGAATAAATGGACACGCATCAGACATCAAGAACAATAACATTCAAAAACCAGTAGGAGAGCACTTCCATCTCCCTGGACACTCAGTAACAGAGTTGAATGTTGCCATACTGCAGCAAAAAAACTTCGAAGACAAACTTTAGCGTGAAACTGCAAAGCTGAAATTCATATGCAAATTTAACACTATCAGACTGGGTCTGAATAGAAACTGGGAGTTAGCTCACTACAAAAAGTAATTTTCCCTCCTTTGGTGTAGACAATTTCTCATCAACTGTTAGGAATGGGCCACATCTGCCCTGACTGAATTCATCTTAGAATCATAGAATGATAGAATCCTAGGGCTGGCAGAGACCTCAGGAGGGCATCGAGTCCAGCCCCCTGCCCAAAGCAGGACCAAGCCCAACTAAATCGCCCCAGCCAGGGCTTTGTCAAGCTGGGACTTAAAAACCTCTAGGGATGGAGATTCCACCACCTCTGTAGGTAATCCATTCCAGTGCTTCACCACCCTCCTAGTGAAATAGTTTTTCCTAATATCCAACCGAGACCTCCCCCACCGTAACTCGAGACCATTGCTTCTTATTCTGCCATCTGTCACTACTGAGAACAGCCTCTCTCTTTCCTCTTTGGAACCTCCCTTCAGGAAATTGAAGGCTGCTATCAAATCCCCCCTCACACTCTTCTCTTCTGCAGACCAAACAAGCCTAAATCCCTCCATCTCTCCTCATAGGGTCACGTATGCCATCTCCCTAATCATTTTGGTTGCCCTTTACTGGACCCTCTCCAATGCATCCACATCCTTTCTATAGTGGGGGGCCCAGAACTGGATGCAATACTCCAGATGTAGCCTCACCAGGGCCAAATAAAGAGGAATAACAACTTCTCTAGATCTGCTGGAAATGCTCCTCTGAATGCACCCTAATATGCCATAACAATAGTATCTTATTAGTACTGTTCTTGCCAAACTCAAGTTTCCATTTCATGCATCTGACAAAGAGTGTTTCAGCCCATGAGAGCTTATGCCCAAGTAAATTCTTTAGTCTTTAAGGTACCACAGAACTTCTTCTTTTTGCTGAAACAGACTAAAATGAATCTTAATTTCTGGGGCACATCTTGACAGTTGTACAACTTTTAGCAGATTTTTCTAACTACATTTTAGGAGGAAAACCTGAAACTTAAAATCAGTTCCTATTCTCTACTAGCCAAAAAAGGAAAAACAGTACTCTGCAGTAACAGGCATGGTGACTTTCACATTATATTAATCTCAAACTGAGGAGAGGAAATGGCAATAGCACTCTAGTCATCTTTCTGGATAAAGTGCATTTCATAAAAATGAAATGACTCTCAGTGACTCTGTTAATCTTCTGTGCAATCCCTAATAAGTATTTTCCTTGCATTCTTAATTTGCTAAATCTGAGATAAAACCTCAAAACTATTAAGTAAATTCTGTATTTATCACTGAGTATCCATAAATATAATTTGCAACATACCTGTCAGGATTTTCTCTTAAGTCTCTGATACTTAACTTATTTTCCAACTCCAAAGGGTCCTAGAAAAACAATTGTTTAAAAGAAAATAATTATGCATTGCATTTACTGACATCAAAAGAGTTACAAATATAATTATTTTTATAATTATTATATAAACTGAGGTTATGTCTACACTGCAGTATCCCGGAGGTATTCCGAAATAGCTATTCCACGTTTTTTTGAGCACGTCAGTTATTTCAAAATATAACAGGCTTGCTATTCCGATGTCCCTGTAAACCTCATTCCACGATCTTGGGATGTATTAGGTGAGGTATTTCCAGTAGGGATAAGGAGGTGTTAGTGCCATTATACAAGGCATTGGTGAGACCCCATTTGGAATACGGTGTGCACTTCTGGTCTCCCATGTATAAGAAGGATGAATTCAAACTGGAACAGGTACAAAGAAGGGCCACTAGGATGATCCGAGGAATGGAAAACCTGTCTTATGAAAGGAGACTCAAGGAGCTTGGCTTGTTTACTTTAACCAAAAGAAGGCTGAGGGAGGACATGATTGCACTTTTTAAATATATTAGAGGGATAAATACCAGGGAGGGAGAGGAATTATTTAAGCTTAATACCAATGTGGACACAAGAACAAATGGATATAAGCTGGCTAATAGGAAGTTTAGACTTGAGATTAGACAAAGGTTTCTAACCATTAGAGGAGTGAGGTTCTGGAACGGCCTTCCAAGAGAAGTAGTGGGGGCAAAAGTTCTAGCTGGTTTCAAGATTAAACTAGATGGGTTTATGAAGGGGATGGTTTGAGATAACATGATCTTGGTAACTAATTGACCATTCATTATCAGTGGGAAATAGGTCAATGGAGGGATGATAAGAGTTACTATAGAGAACTCTTGGTAGCTAATTGACCATTCATTATCAGTGGGAAATAGGTCAATGGAGGGATGATAGGAGTTACTAGAGAACTTTCTGGGTGTCTGGCTGGTGAGTCTTGCCCACATGCTCAGGGTTTAGCTGATCACCATATTTGGGACCGGGAAGGAATTTTCCTCCAGGATAGATTGGCAGAGGCCCTGGAGGTTTTTCGCCTTCCTCTGTAGCATGGGGTACAGATCACAGCTAGAGGATTCTCTGCATCTTGGGGTCTTCAAAGTATTTGAAGGCTTCAATATCTGAGATATAGGTGAGAGGATTATTCTGGGAGGGGTGGGTGAGATTTTGTGGCCTGCACTGTGCAGGGGGTCAGACTAGATGATCATAATGGTCCCTTCTGACCTTAAAGTCTATGAGTCTATTTCAGAATAGTGATGTATTTCAAAATAAGTGCTGTGTAGACAGTGCCAAATTTTGAAATAAGCTATTTCGAAATTAACTTGAAATAAACTAGCTCAAATCGCGTAGCTTATTTCAAGTTCTGTGTGCAGTATAGACATGCCCTGAGTTTATTTTGAACTGCTTAATGAGCTCAAAATTACCTTAATTTGTGAGTTCCATTCAGTAGTTTCACTGTAGATACAATTTTCCCATGTCTCAGCAAGCCATGAGGCAATCTGTTCCATATTGCCACCTACACATGACAAATCTGTATTGCAGGCAATATTTCTACGAGTCTCCTTTTGCCACTCTTCAGACCTGGCGTGGTTCAACATTGTTAACACTGTGTTGTTTGCTTTAGATACCACTGATGCATTAGCACTAGTAGCTCTGCTTGTAGTGAAACAAGCCCTAAAATCAGAACTCACATCAACAGTCTGGTTAACTGTAACTTTATAATGACTCATACCATTATTCAAGCAAGAGAGAGACTTGCTTTCTGAGTTAGGAAAATCTACTTGGTATCCAGTACTATCCCCAGCATACTTATCTATAACGTCCACACAAGGCAAATAATTATCTTTCACTGGAACTCCGGTGAGCGCATAAGAAAAATCTGTTGTTGTTTCAACAGTATCATGACCGTCTGAATCCAATGCAGACAAATACGATTCTTCACAACTACGGGAACTTGAATCATCTACATTTTTTTCGGAAAACTGCGCGACTGTTGCAAAAGATCTTTCCCAAGGCAATACACAAGGACTTCCAGGCGTGCGCGACACGCTGTTAGTGCTGTGACCGTCTCCCGTTTTAAAGCCTTTTTGTGGAGCCAGGGGCGAGGGCGGTGCGACACTATAGAAAGACGCAGGCTCTCTCTTTTGTCGCTGCTCTGCACGGCTGGTGGGGAGCGGTTTGCGATCAGCCCTGTCCGCGTTCACGCCGCTATCGCTCCCCAAGGGGCTGTCACCAGCACTCGGACAGGTCTGTTAGTGCTGTGACCGTCTCCCGTTTTAAAGCCTTTTTGTGGAGCCAGGGGCGAGGGCGGTGCGACACTATAGAAAGACGCAGGCTCTCTCTTTTGTCGCTGCTCTGCACGGCTGGTGGGGAGCGGTTTGCGATCAGCCCTGTCCGCGTTCACGCCGCTATCGCTCCCCAAGGGGCTGTCACCAGCACTCGGACAGGTCTCATCCGCCTGCTCCTCCCCGCGATTTCCACGCGCCAGGCTTTGGAAATCCATCCGCGAGACGGGTCCGGAGCCGGGCTGGAGGAGCCTGGCGTAGCCGCTTGATACCGCTCACCGGCCGCCCCGCAGCGGGAGGGGGACGAGCCGTCGCTCAACGCGCTCCCAGTGGCT